CCCGTTATGAAACAATCAACATGAGTTCCATCTTAGATACGCCGACTCCTTTTTCTCCCGTTTGTTTATTATTATTATATCGGGCCCTGAGTCTTTGTCGTTACCACACATAGATTATTGCTGCGCACACGCGCAATTGCTATCATTATTATCCTTACGATTTCTCTCTTTTCCACTCCCTAAGATTTTCACTCTCTTCCAAATCCTATTAAATTCTTCAATAATAACAATAATAATAAACGGATCATGAAGAAAGAAAGAGTTTATTGCTTTATTTACCGATTTTAATCCAGTTACTTCAAAGAGAACGTTTATTTTGCGATTCTCACTTTATTCCACACAACAAGCGATTCTCCACTCTACCAACCCCTTTCTTCTGTTGCGTTCTTTCTCTAAAAAAATAATTAAATCCTAACGATGCGATTGCGTTCTTTCAAGGCCGCGTTAATGGAGCATTCCACTGATTCACCAAACCAGTAACGGAATGCCACAAGAATGAATGCCTTAATTGTAAGCAAATCTATCGAGTCATCAGCATTCTGTCTTGCTTATGAATGACTACGCTAAACCGCCATCGAATTTTAATTAACGGCACTGCGTAGAACAGTATCGACTTGAAGTGCGCTCGCTGGTTGCAACGATGCTTGGATCTACGGATCTACTAGTTTAATTGTACAGCGTGTATTTACTGCACGGGAAAAAAATTAGCTACGGTAGCAAGAATCTATGGGTGATGGATGAATTTTTATCGAAGAAAAACGATAGGTGAGAGCCAGCGCTGTTGTACGAGCGTATATTGCAAAATAAAATAACGCAATTAACTTTCATTTTACAATATATACGTCCGTATAACAGCGCTGATTCTCACTTGCCTATCATTTTTCTTCAGTTGTATATCCTGAAAATCTTTTTATATGCGGTACTAAATTTTTTTGTAACACAACCTTTCTCATATTAATAATCGTCACTTGAAACTTATCTCACAAAGGAAACACATCTAACAGAACTGTTCCTCACCGATTTTGATGCGCTTTGAATATGTTGTAGAGCATGAAAAACTATTAAACACGTATTTTTTTTTATCGATCGAACTAGAGATTTAAGAGTTGAAACGGCCTCTTGAGAAAAAAGAACTTTTTCATTATTATTGAATATTTCCTAAAATACAACATGAAATATGAAATTGTATATGAAAAAATGTTTCCTACAAAAGTTATACAGTATTTAATACTCTTTGCAACGGTATATTCAAATTTTAAAAAAATGTCAAATTTTTAACCGTCCCTTTGAAATATTACACTTATATAGAGTTTACATTGTACGCAATACGATGAAATGAGTAAATTTAACTTTGTATGATGATCACATGATTCTGTCGCACGAAGCGAAAATAATCTATTTTTAATACTTAACAGTGGTTGTTGATTTACTGCGACCTTGCTGTATGGATACGGGACTACAGATAATGTATAAAATGATTTCCTTCATTTACGCTCAAGCATTAAAAACAAGTCAGATATCTGTTGACATTTTACTTCGCGATTTCATAACATATTAAAATTCTTCTCTATTTATACTTCTCTATTTTTATTGCATCTTGGCTATTTGCGGAGATATAAAACGTCCAATCTCAAGAATAATATGATTATATAATGTTTTTGCAAATTATTTGAAGAATTAATGCCTGTAACCTTGCGTACTATGCACGGTTCACAATACTTTTATTAATATCAGTATTGATATTAATTTTGTTAAAGCAAATGTAAATAAATAAATAAATAAATATAAACAAATATATATACATGTGTGTGTGTGTGTGTGTACTTTTATTAATTACTTATATTAATAATATTGATTGAATCCTCTAATTGAGCGTCTTGCGTTTCTAAAAGAAGCCTAGGTAGAGTAAAAATAACTAGAGAAATAAAAATAACTTTTGCGACACTTTTCAATAGTGTAGTTGCGTTATCTCGCATTTCCACGAATCGTCGCGGGGCTTGTAACGCTGCCCAGCCACGCTTCTTGGAAACGCGTCGCGAGCCTCGCGCTTCTTGGAAGCGGTATTTAATTAGAAAAACGGTTTACATATTTGATAATTACGTTGTGCATATACAGGGTA